TCTATTATATATATATATATATATATATATATATATATTCCATGATAAATCTTTTAAATTTATATTTAGAAGAGAAAAATCATTATGTCTAAAGTACTAGCTTTAATTTTGTATTTATATAGTTTTTTTTGTTTAATAGACACTCATTCTTCTTTTTTTACCTACAAAATAATAGACTTAGTTTTATATTTATAGAGAATCTTAAAAGCTCTATAAATGAAAAAAAAACATATTTTCCATTCAATATATATATATATATATATATATACAAAATTAGAGCTAGTACTTTAGACATAATAATTTTTCTTTTCTAAATATAAATTTAAAAGATTTATCATGAGTGGTTCATGTGAATTATTATTAGAGTTTAGATAATTAAATGACTTATAATCTATAATAATTAAATTTTTAAGAAATTATTTAAAATAAAAAAAATAAAATATTCATATAATAACTTCATAATAAAAACTTCTGCATAATTTTATTTCATATATATATACACACACCCAAGAAAGTAGTATGATAAGAAATTCACAAAACACTGAGATGACTGAACTGTAATGATTTTTTTTACTTGTATGACATGGATTTACAAGCGCAGTTTGACATGGATTTATTTTTATTAAACGGAGCATACTGTTATTTTTTGCAGTGGTTTGGTATTATTAATTGCCTCAGAAATTCAAGAAGATTTGGAATTAATGAATTAAAGTTTACAGAGAGCCCTAAACGCATGTTATTATTTTATTTGCATGATCCGTCTTTGGCCGGCCAAACAAAAGAAGCAAGTCTTTTTTTAAAGAAAAAATTAAATCAAAATAATGAGATTCACTTGTGAAGACGCATGCCAAAATAGCTAATAACTAGGTACTTGAAAAACATAAAAGAAAACAAAGAGACGAAAAGAAGCATCCTTAATGTTTGATCAAGGCATTAATTCACCCAACCTTTGTTCTAGTTTTACTAAAACAAGCACATCCCTCGTATCAATCAATTAATGTTGCCGATTGGATGGCAAAGGCATGTATACATGCTTGTATTGATTTGGGAACTATAGACTCTGAAATCTATATGTAGATTCCCTCTTGACCGAAAGATAAAAAGAGGGAATCAACAAAATGGTGAAAAGAGATGAAATTTTGCCGGAGGCAACCCCACAGGGAATCAACAAACTGGTGAACAGAGATGAATTTTTGCCGGAGGCAAGCCTTTGTATATACTAGGTTTTTTCATCACATGAGTATAGTAGTCTTGTATATCTAGGTTTTTTTCTTTTCTTTTTTCGCTCAGAAGAACCGCTCCCTCCCATAAACCTTTTTCCCAAGTGCTGCAAGTCGCGGACTGCTGGTCTGTTTAGGCCTTCACATGTACTGCAGTTCTCTCTTCTATTCAAATATAGGCTTCTTCCTGGATAGAGGCGGAGGCGGAGGCAGAATAAAAAGAAAAACCATTAGAAATTAGACAAGTAATGAAGCAATGATCAAGCATTTTGTTGGTTCACATTAAAAATGTAAAAGAAAATAAATAAACGCATATGCCTTCGGAAGGAAACAAATTAATATGGCATGTCCTTAATTACTTTAGCATGTAATCAGGATCAAATGGGGGAAACTCCTTGATGCAAGCTGTGTCAAGAATGGGCTGGCAGTATTCATGCCGGGATATCAAATCTATTGTCTGAACTTTGATATCACACACCACACATTTGTGTTCACCAAGGCGAGCTGCCATCATGGCTTGTAGTTTGCAATCAGCACACCACACCAAGTGCAAGCATGGGAAGTTGGCCCGCAACATCCGACGCTCGTTGCACCCTAGGCACCTTCCTTGTGCGATGCTTGCCTCGTATTCCTGCAATTACCACCCAATATTATTTTATCATAAAACAAAATGAAGTTTAGAATACTGAATGAATAAATCTCAACTTGTTGAATCCTCACATCACAGAAATCAAATTCACGAAGAAAGTAAACAGATGAGCTATTCTTTTTTCTGGCAAGGGCCTCTAAAACCAAATGCCTTCCTTGAGGCCAGGGCTTCATCTCTTGAAACCCCTTTCCTGATCCTCCTCTTTCACCTACAGTACTCTCTTTGTCTCCATCAGAGTCACTATTTACCCACGGTCGTGCATGAAAGATTGGGTCTGGTTTCAAGAATTGACGAAACCTCGAGTTCACACAGGGCAATTTATCTATAGGATTATCATCAGTGATCTGAAAGGACCCCCTAGTGCTGCTATCATTTAAGTCATCATTCTCAATGGACACAAGAAGATGTTCCTGAGAGCAAATGGAACCATCAGAATTTCCATTACCGCTATCACCAATTGATGTAGAATGTGATGATGGACTGTCAATCGTAACATCTTGAAGTGGCTGCTGACAAGGAATAGGAAGGCTAGGCAGAAGTATCATATGATTGGCTGGAGTGTGATACGTAATGTGACAAAGTTCAGGGATAGATTTCATGAAGTCACTAAGCTTTGAGAAACCGAGAGAGGCATGGTCTAATTCTAGGCCAAAAAGGGCCCTGAAATCAGCTTTCACCGACGATAGAGCATATTGTCCTCCCCTCTTTGATGCTTGTTGCAAGAAGCTAGGGAGCCACCTTCTTAATGTTCTGAACCACTTAGGCATACATCTTTCATGTGTTTGAGATTCACTAGAACATGCTTTTGTTTGACCATGGATTAAAGTATCAGCCCAAGTCCTCGGCTCAGATTTTATCTCTTCTGTGGAATTACAACTAAGGATCACTTTTTCTGTCTTCTCACTTGATGTCTGCCTATTAAGCACGTCAGTTTTGGCCTTTTCCTTCTCAGTTTTCTCTTTGAGCATTTGTGCTTGTGGAAGTTTCTCGTCAATCTGATTTCTTTCACGTTGTTGGGTTGATTTCTGGAACTCGGCTAGTAGAAGGAATTTTGGAACAGCACTTTTGATCTCAACCTGCTTACCCATAATAATAACATGGTGTGCCTCAACAGCTGCAGAAACAGAATTTTTATCTTTGAAGGTGACGAAGCCAAATCCCCGAGACTGCATCTTATCTGCTGTTTGAACTCCAAGTACTGCAGCATTGTCCACCGAACCAAATTTCTCTTCAAGAATTTTTCTTAGGGAGTCTGATGCGGAAAAGGTTGCAGAAGAAAGACAAAATATAAGATAAAATTGAACTTCTTTGGCTTACTAAATCAGCACTTGATTCTTCAGGTTAATAAGACTACATATGTAGTTGCATGAATGTGCTCGGTTTCTAACCAGAATCTACAGAAGCTGGGAGGCCTCCAACAAAAATTTTCCGTTCTAGTTGCCCTGCAGCAGGTGAATGAATCATATATCTTCCCTGCTTCACCTGCTGTCGTTCTTCTTCAGAATGTGCATAGAAACACTTGGTGCCTCTAACACATCCACGAGGAGAATAGAAGTATTTACAGATCTCTTTCTTTGTACTCGAGCAAGTCCTGCTGTCCACAAGCAGTGGAAAATTATGGGATCAAATAAATTAAAAAATCACTATTTTATCATATGATTCTTAATCGGTTTATCCAAGGAGGTCACCTATTAGTAGGATTCCTTTCATCTGTCAAGGTAAAGAGTTCTTCGCAGGTCCCTTGAATTACATCCCCTCCTTGTAACCATGCTGTATATTTCTGCTGAATGGGACGATTTACTGCTGATTGTGAGCACGAGATTAATGAAATGAGTGACACGAGCTTCTTTATTATGACATTTTCCCACTCAACCTACCCTTTTGAGTGTGTTAAGAATTTCAACTTACTGAGGTTAACATCAGCATTGTTTAGCATGAAACGCATGTCTTGTGACTCAGCCAAGTCTACAGGTCTCTGTTTACTGGGAATTATAATAGTTATAATAAGATGTCAGCATTAGGTTGCAAGGATCAGCATAAATTCTCACTGAGAGACACGAAAAATACTAGAAAGACAATAAAAACGGATGAAATAAATGAAAATAGGTCAGTTGTTTCTAACCGCAAATTAAAGACTCCAGTGCTTGCTCCCCAGTGTAATAGAACATCAACACAGTCCTTACAGCCATTCTTCACAGCAAAAAATAATGGGGTTTCTTTCATTTCTGTATTAGAGTTGACACAATCTGGGTCTTCCAATAGAAGGGCCTGCAGTACAATCTTATAGGAAAATGAGCATGATAAAAAACTACAGTTATGAAACTGTCATATGTTACCAAGATGTGCTTGGAAGACAGTAAAACAGTAAAAGCAACCTGAAGAGCTGATACATAAATACCTGAAGTGCCTGTGAATTACCATTTGAAGCAGCAATATGAACAGCTGTAAAGCCCAGCTTGTTTTCCTGGTTCACTCGAGCACCATGCTTCAGTAGAAGCCACATGATCCTGGAACAGAAGGCGATTTGAAGTTCAGCAAAACCAGAGTGCGTGCGTGTGTGCGCGTGTGCCTGTGCCTGTGCCTGTGCTTGTGCGTGTGTGAGAGAGAGACTTCATCTGCTGAGGACATGATTGCTTATATGCCTTGAGACACCAATGAAGAGCAGAATGTCCATCAGCATCGACATCATTTAAGTCTATGTTAGTCTTCAGAAGCAACTCAATAATGGTTTCATCTCCAGCCTGTGATTATTATCAATAGTACCTGGTTACGGATCATTTGAAAATTACGGTCCATACTGTGGACTTTTGTTAACACGGTATACTATGCTTCCTTTCTTTGAAGTTTTGAATGTGTAATACAAAGGCGATAAATTTCGCAATTAGTTTTCCTGGAATTTGTTGTATTCTTGTCTAGGATGACAGGCTAACTTGAATACAGGGAGAATTAAAGTTAAAAGGCACATAAATGACATTATTCTATATAAATGCAAGAAACAGAATGCACTGAACCTGAAGAGTATACTCGTAAAATGAAAGGAAATTAATTAGGACAGTTGATCATGTTATAGATTTTGTCACTATAAAATAATGACAGTCTATCAAAGACAAATACAGTGTAAGAATATAGTGATTTGGAACGTGATACAAATATCATGATCTTCTTTTGTCCCAAGCAGTTGCTAAGCATATGTTCGTCTGAAATTAGATATATTCATCTGCAAAAGTTTCGCTTGCTTACTAGAATTTCAATTTGCTACTCAGAGTTTGGAAAGCAGGCCAACTTATATTTTTTTTAAATTTAAATTTATGTTTTTTTATTGCTAAAAATTATTTTTTTTATTTATATTGAATGATGTGTTACTTTTATAAAATTCAAAAAATTATTTTAATATATTTTAAAATAAAAATATTTTGAAAAATAATCAAAATCATACTTAATATAAGAAGAAAACGCCAGAAATAAAGCTATTAATTGAAGAAAAATAAATGTTAATTAGAGAGTTCACAGGCCAAGAAAAGAAAATAATGTCGGTTGAAAAAATAGTTTTTCGAAGTAAAAACATGGAAGGGGTATGGCAACAGAATCATGTTTGTACGTCATTGCTCATTAATTTGAAATAGACGAATTTGTGGTGACCGCTCTGAGGTAAAAGCCCCATATGTTACAAAGTATCTAATGAGAATACACGGTGATTCCTCACTGTGAACCCCCTGATTTACAAAAGTGCCCACAGATCTCAATAATCAATGATTAATATCCTATCTGAAAGGTACTTTTCGTAGGGCATACATATCCATTTCCCAAAATCCCATGTACCACAATGTTGCATACATTATACGGTTATTATTCATTCCATATGCTAAACAAAATGCCAAAAAAAAAAAATTAGAGGGAATGAAGATCTATTCTAACCTGTGCAGCACGGATTAACGGTGACGGTAACTTCCTGTCCGTACAACATCTGAGACCATCAGCACCAAAGAGCTGAAGCAACTCGATCTCATAGAGCAAGAGTTTCCTTTTCTCAGCACGCTCACTCTCGCTTAGAACTGTCACCCTTTTTGCTGCCCTCAACAACGGCGTAGGGCCGCCAAGTGCCAATGCCTCTATAATCACAGCCTCGTAAATTGTGGTCTTCTCTTTACAATCTATAACAGCATCACGCACCGGTAAAATCGATTCATTTATTTTATCTGCTGCCACTACCAGAAGAGCAGCCAAATCAACCACACGCCCTGCTTCCGCCATTCTGTATGCCAGGTCACCGATTTCCTCCGTTTTGTCAGCAAGAAGTTTTAGTGTAGTTAAATCCTGTTGAAAAGCATCAAATTAGCTTAATAAAAAAAAAACAGAGAATTTTTTAATTTAATAAATTCCCTACTGTCCTCGGAGCTGAGACTATCCCTTAATAAATTATAACAAAATTGAATAAATAATATTTTCGCGTCTCTTTCCATTGTTTTCTCATTAACCAAAAAGAGCCAAAGCCTTTAATAAATCATCAAATCAATGAATCTTATTTTAATAGACTTTTTCATTTTTTCACTACAAAAAAATAAATATATTTGACTCTTTTGACTTTACTTGACCTAATTCCATGATAAATAAATACAGAAAATTCCATCAAATACTCACTTTCTACCACTTTCTCCGCAACCAAACAATACATAACAAAACGTTTCAATACCTTTTCACTAATTTGAACAACCAAGTCTTCAATGGTTGAATTGTCATCCAGATCCCAAATCAGATCCTTTCTAAAATAACATAAAAAAAGTCACTGAAAAAAAAAATACACGGGAAGGACGGAAACAAGAAAAAGCAACATTTCTAAATAAGGTAATATCTTTCTGCAGTGTGAGATGCATCAAAAATAACGAAAAGTTTTTACACCTTTTTCCATGTTAGTTCATCAAAAATATTAAAACGACGTGCTTTCTTTTGTTTGTTACCTGGTGATACACAAGGACAGCTCCAGAGGTAACAGTCTGCGTCCATCTCTGCTCTTCAAATCCGTACGAGCGTGTTTTTCCAGAAGCATTTCCACACAACGCGCCGCGTTAGCAGTTGCAGCGGCGTGCAGCGGCGAGAGACCGGTTGAGTCCGGTTCATTTATCACCGGCACCGATCCGAACTCGCCGTTGAGTAGTGATGTGGCACAGTCAACAGAATCGAAGGTGCAGCAGAGATGGAACAGCTTGGTAAATATTGTACGTTCTGTAACAACTTTTTTTGAGAGAGAGAGTAACTGTAGTTTGTTGTCTTCTAAGACTGATTTTATCACGCTTGTTTCCATAACCTCTGCGTTTTGGAACTCATGATCTTTACTAGAAGCTGCTGTTTTTGTTTGCTTTGAAAGGTCTGTGAGCGAGAATCCTTGTATTTCCTGCGATTTAAACTACTTTTAGTAACTTCACTAGCAATGAGAAAGGAAAAAAAAATGCCAGTGAGCCAAAAAAAAATGCCGGTGATCAAAGCTTTTCTTTTACTTTGAAAACATGAAAAATACTGAGCGCAGATTTTCTTTTACTTTGAAAAACATGAAAAATACTGAGCGCAGATTTTCCCAAGAAAACAAGAGAAAGCATGGGAGAAGAAGTCGATTTCAAGGTGATAAACTTAGATTAAGACTAAAATGTGAAGCATTTGAAGAGATAAGGCAGTAATGTACCAGATCCATCTCGAAACCCTAATGAGATTTCTACATGGCCATGAGAGAAATTATAGAGAATATTTTGTTTATAATGAAGGCAGAGGGAAAGAGAGACGAGAGCGAGAGTTTGGTGGAGATATTTATAAAGGTCGAATATGGTTGTGTTCGTGTGTAAAGACAATTATATCCCAACAGGGATTAGGATTTTACCAGTGACTGTATGTTATGTTTTATGCATGGATGAAGTCTGTGATCGTATTGTATTGGATGTGTTTTTTAAAAATATTTTTTATTTAAAAATATATTAAAAATATTTTATTTTTAATGTTTTTAATTTTTTATATTAATTCATTAAAATTATAAAATAAAATTATTAAAAAATATTAATTTAATATTTTTAAAATAAACTTAAAATTGCCATACTCTTAGAGTGTACAATTATTAATGCAAATTTACATGAAGTAGGGATTGTTTACAGAGTTAGAAAATAAAGGGAATGTGATATTTCATATTGGCGGATAAGAATTTGAGAGAAGGTATTATATGCATGCTCACTTTAACTAATAATATGTGTTTTTGAAGTTATATATGGCTGCTAATAACAAATCAATGAGTCTCGTGGATCAAAGTAAATAATATTTTGCTGATAGAGTAGGGTGTTATATTTGGTATCAGACCCCGACTTACTAGTTGTCTGATGGTATTAATGAGATTGTCGGGCTGCTTAAAATGGATGGATTGTAATATTCTATATTGGCAGATAAGAACTTGAGGGAGGACCTTGTATGAGTATACTCACATTGACTACTAAGACGTGTTTTGAAGCCATACATAATTGTCAAGCACAAATCCATGAGGCCCATGGACCAAAATGGACAATATCTTGCTGGTAGGGTAAGATGTTATAGGAAAACTTCAAATCAACCTCTAATTATTATCTAATTCTCAATTTACTCTCACTTTTGTTCAATTATGTCTATATGATTTTAGTCATCTCTCATTAGCATCTTCGTAGTTGTGTATTAGTATTTTTGCCACTATTTTCAAAGGTGTATCCTATTATGTTTTAATTTGAACTAGATAATTATATGTGTTACATAAGATGAGATTAAATTTTTACTGAATATAAAGAAAATACTTAGTGTTGTAAATATTTTTTCTAAGTTGGAAAAATAAACTATATGAAAGTTGACTTGATATGATATAATCAATTTTACAGGTTTAAAAACAATCCGAATGACTAGTAAAAATATAATTTGATTTAAAAAACCAAGATAATATCTTTTTTATATATATATTGAGACAACAATATATTAGATTGACTCTGATTTATTCAAATCAAATCAAGTTAACTTGCTAAATCCCTGGTGCAAGTCATAAGACCCAAATAATCCTGTAGAAAGCACAAAAATAATATTAAGCCTAATTTTTAATCAATTCAATGTTTAAGGTTGAAATTGAAAACAAAATTCAATTAAAAAAATAAGTCAAGGAACTTGGGTTAATTTTTCAAACCTTAGTTATGAGACCAAGATAATCTAATAGAAAGAAAATCAAAACAAAATTATAAAATTCAATTCTCAGTTAACCTAATGTTACAAGATAAGATTGAGAGAAAAAATCAATTTAAAAAAGAACAACAAATTACTTGAGTTAAACAATTAAACTCGTAACTCGAGTAACAAAACTAGTATAATCTTATAAAAAGCTGACACGACAAAAAGATTGATATCTTCTCTCAAGTTTAGGGTTGTCAAAGTAATAAATAACCTAGAAGACTAGGGTCAAACCACAAAAAAGTTAATTATTTAAATTATAAATAACAACAACAATAATAATAACAATAATAATAATAAGTTAAAGAGAACTTTGAGATGTAAGATTAATGTGAAGATTAAATAATAATAACAAATATTAAAGTTAGAAGATCCACTAATAGTATTTCAAATAAATATAATATAAACTCTTTTTATTACTCAACTAGAAACCACACACAAAGAAAATTCCAATCATATTATAAATAGTTAGCATGATTACATTAGTTATCTTATTCGAATAATATTAATAATTGTAAAATATTGTCAGGTATTTATAATTATAATTTATGTTAATAATAAATGAAGTTCCTTTCATAGCACAAGTGTTGGTTATATCAAACGGTTGGGCTATGAAAGTACCAAGTATTTATTGTACCAAGTGTTATACAACACAAATCTACAACATTTATGGGAGCTCAAGATTTAAAAGGGTCATTTTCAAGTCCAAATTGTAACAACAACGAAGAAGTCTGAATATGTCTTTCAACCAAAATATTGTTCAATGTTTAGCCCATATCTAGAGTTTTAGAAGTCCAAATGACCTTTTTTTTTCTTCTAAAAAGTTGAGATAATTTCCTACAACTTTCATGTTTTCAAGTAGTTCCAATTCTGACGTTATCAATAACATTTTGGGTAGATAATAGAAGATAAAGATTGTCACCAAGTCAAGAGTTGGCCACCCACTCATCAATTAGTTATCAAATCAATAGTTTTCAATTTTGGCCAATAAAAGGAGGCATTTGCCATGCATTTAGGCATCTTGGTTTAATTAAATAACAAGAGTCTACACTATACTTATTTTACATACCATTAGTGGATCCTGTAATCTTGATATTTGTTGTTATCATTGTTTAATCTTTATATTGATTTTCCATTTCAAAGTTCTCATCAACTTTTTTTTTTACTACTACTACTACTACTACTACTAGTATTATAACATTGTTCAATTCTTCTACTACATTAAAAATTAGTTTAAAATTTTACATGTTTTTATTAATGCATATGATATTTAATACATTTTAATGCATATGATATTTAAATAAGTATCGATTTTTTGATCCACGGTTATATTTTTTATTTAATGTTAAAAACACAGTAATAATACTTATATATTAATTCTTTTGTGTTATAAAAAAATATTTGACCTGTAGCAAGATGAGTTTAATAAACACGTTAATACTTTATTTTTTATATTTATTGGCATAAATGGTTAGAAATGTATTTAATTAAATATAGGTATAAATTTTTTAATTTATAATTAAAATTGATTTTTTTTGAAAAACTTATATATATATATTCAAAAATTTATCTCACTCGTAATGAAACGCATGTTAAATTACTAGTTATCACTGATTCCCTTGCACATTTACGTATTTAAAGAAAGTTTGGTCCATTATAGCACCACCCCAGAGATGAAGTAATGCAATTTTCATGAATACACCCGATTATAATTAACAATAAAAATTAAAATATGTTTTTAGAATGTGTTTAGTAGTGTGATAGTTATTACTTTTCAAATAATTTTTCATGTCAAAATGCATGCCAATAATATTTTTTTATTTTTTAAAATTATTTTTAACATGAGCACATCAAAATGATCCAAAACATACAAATCATATTAAATTTTTTTAAATTTTTTTAAATTTTTTTGAGAATGCAAATTGAACTGCGTTTCTAAACGGTTTCTTACTCTTATATTATATTGTCTTTTGATAATAAAAATATTTTTAAATTATATTATATATTAATTAAATTATTTTTTTGCTGGATGTTAGATTTTTATAACTCTAAGAAATTCTACTTCTACTTCGAATCCAATTACTTTTATTTATTCAATATGACCCCAAATATTTTGATGGCACTAAGCCATTGGGTTTTTCTCTCTTTGTCGTGGGTTGTTTAGGTTACTATTTTGGTCAATATATTTATAGTTTTTTGCTGTTGACACTATCATGTTCTTTGTGTTTTAAAAATATATTTAAAAATATATCAATATATATATATATATATAATTTATTTCAAGTTATTTTGATATTTTAAAATTATTTTAATATATAGATATTAAATTTAAAAGTTAAAAAATATTATTTTAATATATTTTTAAATAAAAAATATTTTAAAAATACTAAGCCTCAAACAAACTTGAATTATTTTTATATTTTAAAAAATTGATTTTTTATTTTTTTATTTTAAATTTATATTTTTTTAGTATTTTCAATATATTTTAAAAATAAATAATATATTACTTTAATTATTTTTTTAATAATGTTTTTTTGAAACAACCTTATCTTTAAAAAAAGAAAAAAGAAAAAAGAGAAAAGAGCTGTGTATCCTTTACAATTTTGAAGTGTGATAACGACAAAAACACATGACAAAAAAGAAATAAAATAAAAATCCCCGGAGCAAGACATTTAAAGCTAGCCTGCCTGCCTGCCCAGTGTCTCACTGCCTTGTTGTTTTTACTCTCTCTCTCTCTCTGTCTCTCTCTCTCTCACACACACACACCTCTTCACATGTAACGCACGTTTCTCTTTCCATGGTCTTCAAAACCCCATACTTTTCTATGCTGTAACCTCCGAAAGCAAGATTTCTTGTGGAGATTGCCCTTGACTTGGTAATGTACGGTGTGAGTGATGAAAAACTTTGTATTTTTGTTTGGTGAGCTGAAACCAACCTGATAATTTTAAATTTTTGACCCACACTGTTCATTTGTGTGCTTGTTCGTTGTGTTTGGTTCAGAATTTTCTAGGGTTTTTCCAAAGTTTCTATCCTTATGTTAGTTCTAAAGATTACTTTACTGTTGATGGTGGTCCTTTCCTTGCATTTACATTTTGTGTTCTGGGTCATGTGCATTTCAGTATCTTTAGCCTTCTAAAAACATATATTTTGTTATGTGGATTTGAGTGATAGTGATGGTTTTTTGAATTTGTTGCTGTAAGTTAAAAAGATAGTCTCATTTCAAGGTTTATTAGAGTTTTGATTGGTTTGTTTGGTTTTTTCTTTCTGGGTTTTGTTTTTGTTTGATGAGGCTTGATTGTGAGTGGTAATTCGGGTCATGCCTGACTGGGTTTGGGTTGGTAAAGGCTTAGGAGAATTGAAAGAGCTGCAGTTGGTGCTCTGAGGTAGTTGTGAGATATGGTATTGTAATTCATTTTTTAGTTTCCAAAGAGATGGTGTTAGGTCCTGATTCTATCAACGTGGCTGATTGGACTGTGGGAAAATCAAAGTTAAAGAAGAAGAAAGATGGTGAAGCTGAGGAAAGTGGATGTTGGATTAAGTTTAGGTTCATTGGGAGCTGCATTTCTTCAAGAACAAGGGTTGATAGCTCCATAAGTGGCACTAGCACACAATATGGTATAATTTGATTTATTCGCTATAACTAGTTTCATCTTACCGGTTTGTTTGAATGTTTTGATTGTGTTTTTGAATACTATTATAAACAAGAAAATTAAATATTTTTTTCATGCTTTGATTATAACATGTTATAATCATTCTTTAATTGTACTTGTTTGGTGCCACATGGATGTTGAATCATACTATATATTTATTCAATTCTTTGGTTTTGCAAGTGCATCACTCTGCGAGAATATGGTCTTTATCGTATCTGTCATTTATTCTCCTTATTCAAATTTGATTAGTACTACTGTCAGAGTGTTTTGATGCGATGTTATTCTCCATTTGTTCAATTTTTATGGGAAGGGGTTTCAGATTTTGGTAAGTGCTTAATTACTTACTTTGGTTGAGACAGTTAATTGGTGGTTTTGATTTTATCCTTTGTCTATCAACCAAATTTGGCCACTTGTTGTAATTTACACTAATTATTTTGCTGCTATCTTGGAAGCTGAAATGAGTCAAACAATGCAATATATACAGGGGCTCAGTGGTTGGAGCTTGCTATGCTCAGTCTTAATTCTCAAATGCTGGTTTGCAAAATATGTTGGTTGGATCATGATGTAAAATGTTTAAGATACTTGATATAAAAAAAACATCAAAGTTTTGTGGCATTATAATATATTCTTGTTCAAAATACTTTTCTTGCTAGATTTATATGGATGATTCTTTTTGAATTTTTTTTAGTTTCCCAATGTTAGTACATGGCATATAAAACAGATGATGTTTGTTGAGCATTTGAGCATTGTGCATTATTAAATATTTCAGGAAACTTGCAACCCTTCTAATCATTTATTGACAGCAGTCATAAATTTTATGTTCACATTTGTATTTGAGAACAGAACTCTTGTAGTGTTCAAAATTACATAACATGTGACCAACTCTATTGTAGGCTTTGGGGTAAATATCCAATTTTATGAAGGTTTCACTTCATACCCAGAAGTTGTTAAAATAAGAAAACAAATGAATGGATGATTCCACTAGAATCCAGAACAGACAACTTAGCAAATTCTTACCTAGTATATTGAATTCAATGCACAAACTATCTTATACAAGAGTAATGTACCTTTAAAAAAACTACTCTTGAATCAATTTTTTTTTTTTCTTGCAAATGAATCTAAAGGTTTTTATTTTGCTCGCACAGATGATAAAACAAAAAAAGTTCATTCAATTGAAATCAAGATACTAATCATGCATTGAAGCACCATCGGTGTCTCAGCATGTTCTTATCTCTCAAAGAGACGAAATGCAACTAACTTCAGTCATGATTTGGTGTTGTTATGCGTTGGAATGTTTTAACTAATAAAAATGCATGGATGGTTTAAAGTAAACCTACACTAGTATAGGTGCTATTTAACCTCAAAGATGCCCGTGCGTGTCTTTCTCTACATATTTGTAAAAAGACATGTCTCTTCTGGTTTATGCTGTTTCTGGAAATGTATATATTCATCTCTCAGGTTGTATGCAGTATCTGAGTTTGTATTTGAAAGTATAGATTAGTTGATTACCGAAAAACCAGATATAGTGATGGTATTTGTTTTCATTTGTGATTCAGCGGAAAGCAAAACAACAAATGATTCCAGTAGAGACCAACCAGCTGTTCAAGTGGGATCATCCTCGAGCACTAGCAATGTTGAAAGTTCTCCATCTACTCCCAATATCGGCGAGGAAATTAAAGTTTCCTCTCAGCTTCGAAAATTCTCCTTTAATGAGCTCAAATCAGCAACAAGGAATTTTAGGCCTGAGAGTATTCTTGGCGAGGGAGGGTTTGGTTGCGTATTCAAAGGTTGGATTAATGAGAATGGAACTGCTCCAGTGAAACCTGGCACAGGGCTATCTGTTGCTGTAAAAACTCTCAACCATGATGGACTTCAGGGACATAAAGAATGGCTTGTAAGAAATCTCACATCTTTTTTAGTCTATTCATGTACATACACATGCATGCACGTGCCCATATGTTTCACTTGCATGTTTGGTCTACAATAATTGCTTGTGGTATTTCTGCATTTATGGTTGAAGGATACTTCTTTTTTACATGGCAGGCTGAAGTTAATTATCTCGGTGACCTTCTTCATCCTAATTTGGTTAAATTAATTGGCTATTGCATTGAGGAAGATCAAAGACTTCTAGTCTATGAGTTTATGCCTCGAGGAAGCTTGGAGAATCACCTCTTTAGAAGTATGTAATGAGCTTATTATTCTACATTTTTGGTTACCTATCCTGTGTTTTCTCCTAAACTGGTAGATGCTTCAATGAGCCATCTATAAATGAGTGTACAGCCTGTAAAATCATTCAGTCAAATCTTTTGATTGGTTGGTTAACTAATGAGAGCTTAAAGTAAGAAGATAATTTAGGAAAAGAAGCATTGGCCAGTTTTTATCGGTAATCAGGACTGAGTTTATTAGCTCAAAGAAATTAATAAATTTTCCAGTTTATGCTATACAATTTATTTCTAGGATGGTATCATACCTACAAGTGATGTTCTTTTCATCCTTTTCTACATTTTCCTATTTTTTAATTGAAAGACCTCACCTTCACAGTCACATATAGTGTGAAATGAAGTCAGTGCATGCCTTAAATTTTATTGCCTGTGTAGAAAATGTCAAATTAATATGTTGCATGTAAAATCAAAACTTGTTTTGGAACAGGTTGGTGCTCATAAATGTAATGCATCATCCTTCTAAGAAACTATATAAAAGGGGTGCCATAATTAATTAAATTTTCAATGCACTTCTCTTATGGGAAGAGTTCTTGCACTCTCTCTCTCTCTCTCTCTCAGAGTGTCTATGGTTTTTTTTTTTTCCCTTTTTTTCTCATGCTTGCTGGAGGTTGTATTTATGCCAAACATAAACATTTCATGAATTGCAATTAATTTAAAAGGATTAGAATAAAGTATTTAGTTGAATGACCTAGGAAAGCTGCCATATATATTCATCACAGTAAATAGGGAAAGTGTATTTACATAGAAGACCAATTTATGGAGATAATGCATTCCATAAAATGTGTGCACACACATAATCCTTATTGTCCTGATTTAGGTGTGGTGGAAATACAGATACAATACTAGGTTCTGTTATTAGATAGATCATTGCACATTTTTGGGAGTAATATGTTTGATGCAAGCAGGATCCCTGCCTCTTCCCTGGTCTGTCAGAATGAAAGTACTGCTTGGCGCTGCAAAGGGCCTTACCTTTCTTCATGAGGAAGCTGAACGGCCAGTGATATATCGAGATTTCAAAACATCTAATATCCTACTAGATGCAGTGAGTGACTAGTTTTATGAAAATAATCTGTTATTTATCCATTGTTGTATCCATTTCTAAAGTATTGCTAGACCTATCCAGGACTACAATGCCAAGCTTTCTGATTTTGGACTTGCCAAAGATGGTCCAGAAGGGGACAAGACTCATGTATCTACCCGCGTCATGGGAACATATGGTTACGCAGCCCCCGAGTATGTAATGACAGGTGAGCATGTTAAACATTGTGTGTCAGTCTTTTGCATCATTACAGGTTTTGTGCTTGTGATTAGATGTAATCTAGCGTGTTAGCCCAAGTATTGATAACAGTTGAGCATGTTAAACATTAATCTTCTGCATATAGGCTTTATTCTCTTAATTGAATGTAAACCATGGTTTTATACATGATTAACAAAAAACTGAATTTCTTGTTGCCGAGTTTCTCCAGAACTTGTTCCATTTCTCAGTGGTAGCATGACTTTGTTCATCTTTGTCTGTCAACATTGAAATTCAGTTGTGTGTGTGCGCTGTGTGAATGTGAGAGGAACAATGAAATTTAACTACTTTCTTGATGTGGAAAAGAATACATAATTATATTGTCGTGAGGAGCAAAAACTCCCAAGTTTCACCAAATGACCTTCATCATGTAGCTATTACAACCACAACCACCACCATCTCACACCCCTGCAACTAATTCAACTGCTGTTTCAACAGCATCACTTGCTACACTGCTCTATTGATGTGGCATTCAAACTCTCCAGATAGTCCCCTTCATTCATTTTGTCATCTTTATGACTAGTCACCTAGTAATGGATTAGAATTTCCCCTCTGCTCCAGTAATATGTTGTCTCCACAATTTACTACTCTTGACCAGAAACTAAAACCAAGATTTATTATATCACCCTTCTGCTCCAATGTCACTGGCAGTACCTTGTTTACTGCCACTAACACTTTGTTACATCACCTTTATATCTACCTAGCTACTGTCGCTGGAATGCAGCCATCATAATGCTTCTTGCTTTCTAATTCCAAACCTTCACTACATTATGTTGTTGCTGCCTTCACTCATTTCTGCATTATCATTGTAACCATTTCACCATTGTTAGCTGTCACTGCTGCACCACCATACAATGAGCTATGTTTCAGACCTGTTATTTACTTTTTCAAAAGAACAAGAATGAAATAAATGTGGACTTGTAAAGAAATAAAATGACTTGAAAGAATTTCAAATTAAGATGTTGGGGAATGGGGGGATTCAAATTAAAGATGTTTTAGGCAAGAGAACATATGAGATGGCAAGAGGACCCAAGTTATGGAAAGCTTCATAGTTGTCTCTTAATCAAGTCAGACTTCAGGATACTTGAGATTACATTGGGTACTTGCATTATTAGTGGCTGAGAAATATGGAACCCTGGACTGATGGTGAATATAAATGTTGGAATTATGGACTGAACAATGGAAAGTATAGCATGAAAGGGCCTGCTTTCTTTGACAAATAGGCAAGTATTGTTTGTTTTTCTATCATGGAATGCTGGGACTTCCAGAAGATTTTGGGTTTTCAACAGTACTATTCTATGTGGTCAAATAAAGATCTATCCATAAAATTTTGCAACATTTTGTTGTATTGTACTTCATTTAGAAGAAGATGCTTTCTTAGGATCATCATCTTTTTGTTCTGCTAAAATAAAATAAAAAAATCCATATCTTCTATTGTTCTATTGACAGATTCCCTTGTCTCCTTGATTTTCAGACATGTCTGCATATACATTGACATGTTTCCACAAATAATTGAAATTCAATTTCTTGATCTCTATCTTCAATTTTCGGAAACTTATAAAGTTCTTCTGCTAAGCCCTGATCAATGAACCTACAAAATCCTTCAAATTGTATTTGATTAAATGAAATCCCCCTCCTCCCGCCTTTTTAAGATAGTTTTATTGATCAGTAATAATAAATAATGGAATATTAAATAAGAATGTCAGTTTGTTTGAATTTGGTATACACAATAATCTTCAATTCGTTAGGAATTCCTAATTTTGTCAACATTAATCAATCCAATTTTTTTTTTATTCGGCTAGAAATACATAAAGAATGGTATATTTCTTCCCTTACAAAAGAAAAAAAAAATAAATTATTAGAATTTGTCCCCTTGTCTCCTTGATTTTCAGGCATGTGTGCATATTCTGCAATGTCTTGGTTAAATGTTTTCTGAATTGCCAGTTTCCTAATGTCGGTAAGGTGAATTGGTTATTGTTTATCACAAAATCCAGTGAGTTTTCATTATTAGGATCAAATTCAGGCTAACTAAGAACTTGTCAAATTTCTTTCATCTCCCTTGCACCTATGAGACACATGGATGTTGCAGCCCTCCATCATGTGCGGATAATTTTCTGTGAGCATGTAATTAAGCCTTGCATTATTTGAGCTGGGTTATATGAAAATCCTCCCATACTTGTTACACTTGATGTTGTGCCAGGTCATCTCACATCCAAGAGTGATGTCTATAGCTTTGGGGTTGTTTTACTTGAAATGTTGACTGGTCGAAGATCCATGGACAAACACCGACCAAATGGTGAGCATAATCTGGTGGAATGGGCACAGCCACACCTAGGGGAGAGGAGAAGATTCTACAGAATGATAGACCCTCGTCTTGAAGGACGCTTCTCCATCAAAGGTGCTCAGAAGGCAATCCAATTGGCTGCACACTGCCTTAACCGTGACCCCAAAGCCAGACCTCTGATGAGTGATGTAGTTGAAGCCCTAAAGCCTCTGCCTTACCTCAAGGACATGGCCTGTTCTTCATCGTACTTTCAAGCCATGCAATCAGAACGAGGCAGCTCCAATCCAAGCGCTCAGAATGGAAATAGAGTGCGGCCAGGGTTTTCTAGGAATATGCAACCAACAAAGAGCTTCCCCAAATTCAATGGTCATCATGGTAACAGTTATTACTGGTCACCCGTTCCTAAAGCAGGAGAACCATAGCATTGAGTCCATGTCCTTTCTTTTTCAACCCCTTTCATTTCCTTGAATGATAGTATTGGTTAAAGATCATACTTGGGACCTTGAAAGGCCTTATGGGGTGTTTTTGGAAGATAATGCGGGATGTTCCTTCTTTCCTTTTTCCTTTTTGAGAGGATGGTAGTCTGAGACGCTACTGTTGATTGTGCAATGTTTTGTTTCTGTAGTTTCATCGTTTTTTGTAGGTTGGAAATGCCCTGACCAAACTACATTCAGCTTTGGAATGAGAGGTTGAGAAAAGACCTGCCGGGTTTAGTTATCTCAAGTTGGGATGATCCTTCCATCTAGGATGGATTGTAAGTATTAGATTAGGGATCATACTTGTGTTCTGGGTATAGATCATTCCCAAGGAATCAATTTGATTAAGTTAGGAAGAATCGATTCCATTCCTTTGCATCATGCCAAATTTTACTAGTGTTAACTTCTTACGAGTTACGTGTCACCAAAGCGGTAAGAGTATCTGTGTTAATCGTCGGGCTAAACTGCTGAGTACTGGCAGTCATATTATATATCCATTGTCGTTGCGACCTTGAGTGTTTTGTTTTGTCTTCTATATCTCCTCCACTGGCAGCACGTATCATGTTCCTATCTCGGGGATTAAATCTCTCATAAAAGTATTCAATTAGAAGTTGCTTAGAAATTTGATGTTAAGTGCAGCAAGCACGTAGATTTTTATTTCTTTTATAATATTAATACAAGGATATTTCATTCATTTGCTTTATGTTTACAGATTTCTTTTCTTAAAATTACAACCCTAAATGTAAGTATTTTTCTAGGAAACATCGTTATGTCTCTTCCCTTAAGGGCAAATAATATAATCAATTTTAAGGAAAGGCTCTCAACTTGATTTGTTCTTTTGTAACCCCAACGGGTTTTATGCTTGAACAAACGATATGAAATTTCTTAGGATGCTTGTGGAGATCACCACCTGTAAAGCCATGAAAAGAAGGAAGTAAATGAATAAGAACAGCTTAAACAACAATTTATGGGAAATTGATGTAAAGTGGCTGTGAGTTAAAGTTTAAAGCAACAAGCTCCTTGAGAATGTGAGGTTGTTGGATGGCTATACGAGTTATGGTGGAACTTAATAGAAAATATATGGAATGAAATCTTCTTGCTTATTTATGCTTTCCTCTATCTAACTTGTCAAAGAAAATGTATTTGGTGATGCAAAAGTTCATTGATGTAATCCCTCACAACTCTTATCATTTCTTTTTTATTGCTTAATTATTATGGAGATTAATTTAGTGCCTTTGTTCTTGTATGGAAAATTTTCTTAAACTCTTTCTCACTAGGTTGTCTTTATTTTTTGGAGTTAGAGTTGGGTATACAATTATGTAAGCCAAAGTAAACAAAAATACAAGCTTAATTCATGTAAACAATGATTACTATCTTCTACAACAATACCAAAAATTTGACGAGTGTCAAATTCATGCAAATTTAAACCCTTAAAAAATTAATGATTTATAGCATAGAAAATAAAGGTATTGTCATACAAAGATACAAGTATTAAAACTTAGTTAATCAAGACAAAATATTTATATTTAGATTATAACAAACCAAGTAAATATGCACTAAAATATACTAACATGATAAAATCACCTAATACATAATTTAAACATTAAGTAATTAAAATGAGGATTTTGTTTATGATCAAAACTAATTAATAGCAACATAGAACATTGAGAAAATGAAAGAAATTAGTTTTGAAAATAAAAAGGTAGATTCAACAAATTATAAAATATAAAAAGAGAGGTTTTAACATCAACATTGAGAAAGTGTTTCTCAAGAATAATTAATACCAATAAATGAATTAGATATGTTTTTTAATTTGATTGTGATCATAAATAAACCAACTATAAAAAAACAAGTTTTTCTACCTATCCTTACTTTTAGGTTAATCTAGCATATGTGTACAATAATTAACCTTAATCATATAATAACTTCACTAAGCATGTAAGATTTAATTACATGACAACATTGACATCAGAAATGTACAATTGATTCATAACAATTAAAAAAAATGGAGAGTGAATTTAATCAATACTTATATTTTTCAAGTAATAATTGATCAAACATGAGTTCGAAAATTAGATACTTATGCTACTTAAGTTTATTAGTCATGAATCCATCATAAACTAATCACTAGTAAAAGCTCTATTGCAAAAAAATATCATGCAAAACGATTGAAAGTCTGTTATTAATGTGCGAGATGGACTTGTAATTCACAATGTCGTTCTTTAGGAATGGTATCTATAAACCGTGAAGATAAAATACAATTCATTAAGGATGGCCTAAGTAAGGAATCTTTAGATAATTTTATATTAACTTTTGAGACGCATCTTAGTGGAGATGTGCATCGTGCAATTCATGATTTATGACCACAATTCCATAAAAAAAACTGGATAGAAAGCCTATCCTCGATCTATAGAAGGCGTTTATGCCATTCTTAGACGTAAAACCAAGGAAAGGTGAGAGCTACAATTATAACTATCTATATATACACATGCTTTTTTAAAAAAAATAAAAAATAAATAAAAAGAGAGAGAGAGAGAGTATGAGACTTCTGCTGGCCTATATATAGGTGGTATGACTATATTTTCAAGTTCTTATCTATAAAGTCTTCTCTTCCTTCGCTTCATTTCTACTCAACCTATATATTCAATAAATATAGAAGTGTGTAAAAATGATAGGTTCCTCAAATCATCACATAAGAAATATTTGTGTTTTCGATGGATCCAGTCCTGGGAAGGAAATAAAGTTTTTAGAATTAGCAAATCATCTTGGTCAGGTACTAGCTGAGAGAAAGATTCATTTAGTATATGAGGGAGGTAGCCTTGGGTTAATGGGGAGAGCGTCAATAACAACATTTTTAGGAGGTATTCAAGTTATAGGGGTTGTCCCAAAAGCTTTAGCATAAGAGAAAATCATTGGAAAAATAATTGGAGAGGAACTACAAGTCTCCATAATGTTTGATCGAATGAATACAATGTTTAAACACGCTGATGCTTTCATTACCTTATGAGGTGATCTGGGCATATTGAAAGAGATCTTTCATATTAACTTTTGGGTCCAACTGCACATTCACCATAAACCTATATGTTTGTTGACACGACTAAAAGATTGATGTCTTCTCCTAAGTGCAGGAGTGTCGAAGTAATAAATAACCCGGCAAGACCGGGGTCGAACCACAAGGAAGTTAATTGTACAAATTATAAATAACAATAATACAACAACAACAACAATAACAACAACAACAATAATAATAACATTACTAATAATAGTAGTAATAGTAATATTAATACTAATACTAATACTAATACTAATACTAATACTAATACTAATAATAATAATAATAATAATAATAATAATAAAGGAAAAGAAGAAGAAGAAGAAGAAGATAAGAACTTTGAGATGGAATATTAACGTAAAGATTTAACAATGATAATAATAAATATCAAGGTTAGAGGATCCATTAATGGTATGTTAAACAAGTATAATATAAACTCTTATTAGTTAATTGGAAACCACACAAAGGAGGTTCCAATCAGATTATAGATTGTTAACATGATTACATTAGTCATCTTATTCAATTAATGCTACTACTTGTAAATCTCGTCAAGCATTCATGATTATAACTTATGTTAACAACAAATCAAGTTCCTTTCATAACTCAGGTGTCGGTTATACCATACAGTATAGGCTATGAAAGTGCCAAGCATTTCTTATATCAAGTGTTATACAACATAAATCAAGATTAGTCATTTAACAAGCAAAGTATTAAAGATTGAACAAGATAACAAATACAAAACATGTTAGTATCAAACATTAAAGTCCATATTGAGTTTACACTATACTTATTTTTGCACCATTAGTGTAACCTTTTCACCTTGACATAATAAACTTCGCTAAACATAATAAAAGAAATACAAATAAATAAACAAAATAAGAACATAAATAAGATAAGAGTTAACTAAGTAAAGGAGAGGAAATGATAGGCATAAACTTGATATTAATGAAAGCAAAGCATAAACATTCCAAAAAATACAAAGAGAGAAAGCAAGAGCATGACCTTGATCTGGAAACCAAGATGCCTAAATGTATGGCAAATGCCTCCTTTTATAGGCCAAAATTGGGAACTATTGATTTGATGACTAATTGATGAGTGGGTGACCAACTCTTGACTTGGTGATAATCCTTATCTTCTCTTGTCTGCCCAAAACATCATTCATAATGTCAAAATTGGAGCCACTTGAAAACATGAAAGTTGTAGGAAATTGTCTCAGATTTCTTGTGTAAGAAATTCAACTCATTTCGATTTCTAGAACTCCAGACATGGCCAAAATATTGAATAGTGCTCGGGCTGGAGGAGAGATTCGGGCTTATTTGTTGTTGCAATAATTTGGACTTGAAAATGGCCTTTCTAGATCTTAGGCTCCATATGGAAGTTGTAGGTCTATGTCTTACCTTTCCATCCATATAAAGTAGACCTAAATCTAAGATCTATAGCTCCAGATATAACCCAATTACCGAATAGTGTTCCGGTTTGGATTGCACCGACATCTCTTTTCTAAGTTTGGCCATCTCTTTATCCTTTTAATTTCAGTTCTTAAATTCATCAATCAATCCTTTCATTTATGTGATAGGCCTGCATTTAAAATGAACATTTACCATAAATTAAAGGTATCCTATTGACACGACTGAAAGATTGATGTCTTCTCCCAAGTGCAGATCGGGGTCGAACCACTAGGAGGTTAATTGTATAAATTATAAATAGAAATAATACAACAACAATAAGAACAACAACAATAATAATAATAGTAATAACAATAATAATAATAACAATAATAACAATAACAATAATAATAATAGTAGTAATACTAATAATAATAGTAATAATAATAATAACAATAATAAAGAAAAAGAAGGAGAAGAAGAAGAAGAAGATGAGAACTTTGAGATGAAATATTAATGTAACGATTAAACAATGATAATAACAAATGTCAAGGTTAGAGGTTCCACTAATGGTATGTTAAACAAGTATAGTATAAACTCTTATTTTTCAATCGGAAACCACACGGAAAGGAGGTTCCAATTAGATTATAGATTGTTAACATGATTACATTAGTCATCTTATTCGATTAATGCTAGTACTTGTAAATCTCGTCAAGCATTCATGATTATAACTTATGTTAACAACAAATCAAGTTCCTTTCATAGCTCAG